TAAAAAAAAAAAAAAAAAAATATGAAATAGATAAAAATAATCTGAAAAGTTCTGAAAGAAAAATGAATAAACATAAAATATAAGCAAGGTTGAGCTATGTGCATAAATATAAAATTTATATGCACATGTGTGCAACTAGTAGTTGGTTTGTGCAATTAAAACCTATGGCGCAACCGCATTTGTGCAAGTAGGTTTCGATCTGAATTTTAAACACTGCCTAACCCTATCCAAAGTGACTCTAGCCATAAACTTGATTAGCGATTGATCACGTGATTTATCTTCGCTTTAATCGACTGGCAAAATTTTTACCAACTAGGAACACTAGTCTGGGGTTCAAATCTTCAGTAAGTTGAAGATCCTAGAGAAGGAGAATTTACCACTTAGGCGGGTCGCTCCTGGGTGCAAGTGATAAGATATATCCGCATTGCGATGTTAGCATCCTTTATTAGTACAGCATTATATAGTAACAATGGCTACTGCTGTCCCTGCATGAGTTACACGTTGTCGATCACACGTAATAAGAAAATTTGAAATTCTGTATTGTCCGCTTATTATGGATTATTATCGTTATGAATTTCGACGATTGCGAGCATAGATCAACAGAGACTGTTGATTCCACTAGAGTTTGTAAAGATTGTGGTTACTGCTACTTCTCCGAATTTTTGGTTCCTGACAGTAGCGGTACGTATGCTGAAAAGTACTCTTTAACGGGAAATTTGTAATCAATTTTTTTTTAAAATCTATTTTGAAGATCTATATGAAGGCCGAACACTAAGACGCGAAGCACTTGATGGATCAACCATTGATCCCGGAAAGCGCCGGAGTAATATTTCGGTAAATAGCTATGTAATGTATTGCCTAATTCATTGCATTGATTTAGCTTATTGGAACCTTCTCAATTAAAGGCTGAATCAGTAATTCAACAAACAATCACATCTCTGTGTTTAGAAACATTCGAAACAAATGATTCTAGAAAGACTAAGTTAGATAATCATATTACACAAATCTGGCATAAGTGAGATAGATATATATGAT